CCTTACGTGCCCATCTTTGTGGCAAAGATCAGGCTTTGTGAACGTGCACCGAGCAAAGTGGTTTACCCCTAGATTCACTTTTATTTCTTCACCGTGGAAAGAATATGCCCACAAAACCGTGGCCCTCCTGAGGGAAGATTCCCTGAGGATATAATTTGCTGTCTCTGCTGGGTGAGTGCACATTCAGTCCAAGATTACGGTCTTCGGACGTTGCCAGGCTGTGGAGAGAAGCGAAAAGGGTTAGGTCACAGGGTGGTGGGTGGGTGGAGGGTGTTGGACACCTGCCCACATCCTAGGGAGGGCTTCTGAGAAGCCTCTGCTGTACATCCGCTCCCTACACCCAGCCATTGTTGGCACACCTTCAGAATAGAAGACTGGACCTCAGAATCGTCTTTGCTTTTTAACTGAGGGAAAATACACATAAGACCAACCCGTCTTACGGGGCGCCTGGGTGGCCCAGTCGGTTAAGCGTCCGACTTCGGCTCAGGTCACGATCTCGAGGTTCGTGAGTTCGAGCCCCGCGTCGGGCTCTGCGCTGACAGCTCGGAGCCTGGAGCTTGCTTCGGATTCGGTGTCTCCCTCTCTCTCCGTCCCTCCCTTGTTCACTCACTCTGTCTGTCTGTCTGTCTCTCTCTAAAACGAATAAACATTAAAAATTAAAAAACCCAACCCATCTTCAAGTGCACAATTCGGAGGCAGTCTCTGTCTAGTTTCTGACACCTTGAATCCCCTCCCCGAAGGAGACCCCCTCTCCCTGTTAAGCAGGATTAACATGATATTTTCAGGGCTTTTTCAACTACGTGATCCTATGGCTCCAGAATAGAGACTCATTCAGCTCTGCAAAAATACCCTCCAGACTGCGAAGGCATTAGGATTACTCCATAAATGTAAAACAGGTAAATATTTGTCCTGAACAAACACAACTGGGGTGGACCGCTGGGCTCGCCTTGGCAGATGATTGCGTGGCAAATTGTTGCACAGCTGAACATGTTTTCCTGCTGTTTGGAAACCTCCATGGCTGGGCCAGTCAGCGCCCTTGGAGGCCACAGAGGCCCGAATTGACTTGCACGCATACCTTTGGATCCAGGGCGAGGCGTGGGATTCACACCGCTAGTTTCTCATCACCTTCTGGAAAACGGTTGTCCCTTTTCATCTTTACCGAGGAAGGGTCCTCCGAGTTCAGATTCCTGAACCGAGGGGCATTTTTGCGGTCACCCCGATCAGTGGGGCAGGGGGCGGGGTGGTGAGGGGAGGCCACGATCGATCGTGCCGTTAAGAGCCTCAGCTTGGGAGGATGTCCTGTTTGCAGCCTCGGAGCCTCCCCTGTTTTACGTCGCCAAGAAAAGAATTGCTTGTGATTGGTGGATTTTGAATGTGCTCTGGCTGAATTTCTGGTTCAAACAAAGATCCAATCTGGACGCCCAGTAGGTGCCACCGATGGGGTCAGAAGGGCTGCCTGTGAGGAGGGCCTGAGCGCGGCCCACGGGGCCCTCCTCCCCTCCGCTGTGAGGAGGCTCAGTGGAATCCTTCCACGTCCCTCAGAGCACAGTGTGGACATCACCCATCTAAACTCGCAGGAAATCCAAGCACCGGTGGGGACGGTCTTTGGACTCTCTGGGTTTTTGGTTTGTTTTTTTTTTTTATCAGCCCTCAAGTAACCAAGAAACACCCATGCCTGTCTCCTTCAAACTGTTCCTAGCATCCTTTGTGAGATCCTACCCAAGTTCAGGGCTTCCTCTCCCACTGTTGACCCGGAAGTCGGCCGTTCCCCACCCCCACGCTCACCTGCCCACACCTTTTGAGTTCTGGCAAGCCCTGCCCCTGTCTCCGTGCCGTCGTCACCGCTCTGCTCTGCTTGGGCATTCCGGAGGCCTGCGCCCTCCCTCCTCAGACCCTCAGACCCAGCCTGCCGCTTAACCGCCACCGCCTAGTGGGTGTGGAACCCCACGAGGAGAAGTGGAGAAGTCACTTTGGGGTCTGAAGCTTTGTTTTCCCCAGTGCCTCCTGGTTCCTTCTCCTTCTTGCAACAAAAACCAGTTCTGTCTGGGATCAACGTTTTATATGTTGTTAAAAAGAGGAGCAGTCTTGTATCTCAGGACACAGGGGGCCAAGCCACCCCCGAAAAGTCAGGGGTCCCTATGGCGTTTCCTCCAGAGATGACAGATGCAATTCGCATCGTGAGCCCAGCAGAGGGCGCCGTCCACCGTCCCCAGCCACACCGGGAGCATGAAAACTCCTTGCAGGGGGTGGACCAGCCTGTGGTCTTCCTTACAACTTAGCCTACGGGGAAATGGGGGGAAATTCAGATGTCTCTGGCCCAGCCCCTTGAGATTATTGCTTAATGAGTCCCCTACGGGGCAGGCATCCTCCAGGGAGAGAGACAAGGCGGGGCCCCAACAACAGAGGGGTAAATGAAGTTTGTCCTCACTTCTGCTGTGTCCTCAACACCCCAGCTTCTGTCCGCAACACTGTCTGCTAACAAACCCAATGCTTTCAGGGAAATCCGCAACCCAGTTTGCCTTTTCACATCTTGATGACGGACGGTTGCAAAGGGATGATGCCAGCCTTCCCTGAGGCAAATGTGGGTAATTCGACAACGGGCTGGAGGGCAGCAGTGACCGCTGCTCCTACGTTTTTTTTTTTTTATAATTTTTTTTTTAATATTTATTTTTGAGACAGAGAGAGACAGAGCATGAACGAGGAAGGGTCAGAGAGAGAGGGAGACACAGAATCCGAAGCAGGCTCCAGGCTCTGAGCTGTCAGCACAGAGCCCGACACGGGGCTCGAACTCACGGACCGCGAGATCGTGACCTGAGCTGAAGTCGGACGCTTAACCGACTGAGCCACCCGGGCGCCCCAATGCTCCTACATTTTAATTGAGCTAGCTACTTCTCTCCAGGAAGACTCAGAGCATAAACACCTTGAATTTACGGGGAGCATTTAGAAATGCGGGTAAGTTCTGGTTTCTCAAGTTTGTGTTCAACCTACGTGCTCTTTGAGGGAATCAAACCTGTTAAGGTTTTATCAGCAAAATGGGAATCTCTACCCATTTGGTGAGAGGAACCGCACTGGTATAAATGTGCGTGTTGCGTGTTTATGGTTGTGCATTTGAATGGCTAATCTCACCGGTGTCACATGCTCAGAAAGTGTCCCTTGGTCGCTGAGCACTACTTGTGCTTGAATTTAGATATGACACAAACTTAGACGGCTGACCGCACCTCTAAGAACGAATTCCAGTGACCTAAACAGGAAATAATTTTAAATAAATGAAAACCTTTTTTTCCTAAACGTTTATTTATTATTAAGAGACAGGGAGAGACAGAACACGAGCGGGGGAGGGGCAGAGGGAGGGGGAGACACAGAATCCGAAGCAAGCTCCATCCAGGCTCTGAGCTGTCAGCACAGAGCCCGACGCGGGGCTCGAACTCACGAACCATGAGATCGTGACCTGAGCCGAAGTCGGACTCCCAACTGACTGAGCCACCCCGGCGGCCCATCTCAGGGTCTTGTATTTCTACAGTTCCTTACAGACACAGTCACGGAATTATCTCTGTACCCCCCATGGTGGAGGCAGGTAAATCCCTACCCACCCTCATCCGAGGGACAGGGCACCCCCTGACCGTGCCGGTGGGTCCCCTGTGGAGAGTCGGGGCCTGGCTCCGTGCTCCCGACTTCTCACCCAGTGATCTCGAAATGCCAGCAAGCGACTTCAGAGTTCATTAAATTGGACCGAAGCTCCTACAGCTTGCAAAGCACATTCTTTACAGCTGTTATAAAGGTCTCATTGCTCAAGGGTAATCTAGCGAAACCACCAAGCCCCCTTCACTCCCCAGGCGCTCAGAATTGCAAGGGCAATGAGAAGCATGTAGTCATCTCCACGAGTAACCGCATCCAGCCCAGAACTGCTCGGAGAGTACGCGGAAAGTTCCAGAAAAGGGAATGGCACCTCACAAGGGGCGGTACGGGGTGGTACTCCAGAGCCCCGCGTGCTTAGGCTCCAATCTGCCCTCTCTCGCCCTACAGCCAGGAGCTGGGAACAGCCGCTGGGCCTCTCTGGGCCTTGGTCTCCTTGTCAGTTCGTACCTACAAAAATTAACAAAAGAGGCAGAAATCCCTGCCCTCACAAGTTTATATTTTGGGCGGGGGGCCTACAGGAGACTCTCTGGAAGGTTATTTGCCCCCCGTTAGGTCTGACTTTTCCCAATGAGCCACGCGTTCGCTTATACTTGGGCGCTCTCCTTCCATAGGTCTTGACTGTGGGGTGACACCTCACCGTGGCGGCGTTCTGCCAGCCAGAGGCCATCGGTACACGGAATGTGCTGCCCGGAGCCCTGGGTGTCCGGGAGGAGCTCCAGCCAGGCCTGCAGGATCCCACCTGCCCGTCAGTGGAAGGACGGACTGTTTTACATCAGCAGAGTGAACTGGGTCAAAGTTTAGTCAATCACAAGTTGTGCAAGGACTTGTCGCGGCCGGCCTGCGACTCTAGGCCGCCCAGCACTCATTAACAGCTATCTGTTCAATGATTATCTCCCTTGGGGGTTGTGGTGGTAAGCCCGTCCAGAAGCACAATGGACTGGGGCCACGATCCAAAGTCCTGCCCCTGACGTCAGAGACGAGCCTCCCCGGGTGTAGCCGAGGGGCGGGGCCCTCCTCCTCAATGGGATTTAAGGCCGGGAGGTCCGGCCTCCAAACAGCGAACGCGGCCTTCCCATTGGGAACGGTTGTCCACCGGCCGGAAGCACCTCGTGGGAAACCCTTGGATCTCCCATCGAGATCATCCGAGAAGGAGAAAGGTAGGTAGAGCTTTTTGGTTTGCGTGTCTAAAGGTTACGGAGCCCACGCAAACTCGTTTCCTTTTCTCCGCAGCGCTTCGACTGTCTGGTGAGGTGCCACCAAAGAGACGCGTTGAGTTTCCCTGGGGGCGTCTGTAAGGTTGTTCAAGGGGCCCGTGTTTCCTATTTCAGGGAAGCGTCCGTGGCCCTTAGCGCAGCCCTGCAGAAATGCCTCCTCAGCTCCCCAGCAGCCTCAATTTCTCGGCCAAGGTCGTCCAGGGCACCCTAGACAGCCTGCCCCAGGCGGTGAGAGCATTCGTGGAGAGTAGCGCCAAGCTGTGCCAGCCCGACCATATCCACATCTGTGACGGCTCCGACGGCGAGAACCGGAAGCTGCTGGACCAGATGGAGGCCCAGGGGGTGATCAAGAGGCTGCGGAAATACCACAACTGGTAAGCCGGCCCCCAGCCCCGCCGTTCCCACCGTCCCCGCCAGCAGAGGCGGACCCGAGACCCAGCGGGGGCCGGGGTGGGCCGCCGTCGACTCTTGAAAAACTTAGTGAAATGGCCCGAGCCATAGAGACTGCAGTTTAATGACATTCATAGAGCGGCTCAAGTCGACCGTGAGTTAGCAACATAGGGACACTCCCTGCGAACTCCATCCCTGACGAGGACGACAGCCAGACCCGCCCTCTCCTGAGAGACAAGCTCAGTCTAGTAACATCTCCTCGGCTGCGCCCCGGTTGGTGCGGTTGTCCACACGGGTGGGGCACCGTCCGTGCGCTGGGCACCTGTGAGGTGCGGGAAGGGCACGGTGCTGCACGGGACTGGTCCGTTCCCCTCTGACGCCTGGCGGAAGGGAATCCCGTGCGCAGAGGCAGCGGGGGAGGGCGACACTGTCCCCTCCGTTCCTAACCAATTTTTTCAAAATTTTTTGCAGCTGGCTGGCTCTCACTGACCCCAGGGATGTGGCCAGAATTGAAAGCAAGACGGTCATCATTACCCAAGAGCAAAGAGATACCGTGCCCATCCCCAAAACCGGCCCTAGCCAACTAGGTCGCTGGATGTCCGAGGAGGACTTCGAGAAAGCATTCAATGCCCGATTCCCAGGGTGCATGAAAGGTGAGGGAGACAGTTGCTTGACTGGGAGAAATCAAACAGAAGCAGAGGGCGGATGCCGGTAGGAAGGGCGATGTCACCGTGTTGTCGTCTGTGATGCCGGGCTCATTTCTCACCCCTCCCCCCACCACCGGCCCCTCCAGGTCGCACCATGTACATCATCCCATTCAGCATGGGGCCGCTGGGCTCCCCTCTGTCGAAGATCGGGATCGAGCTGACAGACTCCCCCTACGTGGTGGCCAGCATGCGCATCATGACGAGGATGGGCACCCCGGTCCTGGAAGCGCTGGGCGACGGGGACTTCGTCAAGTGCCTCCATTCCGTGGGATGCCCTCTGCCTTTAAAAAGTAAGTGTACCCTTTCCGGGTCCGAAGTTGTGACGGCAAATCAGCCTCGCCTCGAGCCCTGGGCCTTTGCCCCGGGGACCCCCCACCCCGGGTGGGGAGGCAGCACGCTCACCCGGGCTGTGTCTTCCTGCGCAGAGCCCCTGGTGAACAACTGGCCTTGCAACCCAGAGATGACCCTCATCGCCCACCTGCCCGACCGCAGGGAAATCATCTCCTTCGGGAGTGGGTACGGCGGGAACTCGCTCCTCGGGAAGAAGTGCTTCGCCCTCAGGATAGCCAGCCGGCTGGCTAAGGAAGAGGGGTGGCTGGCAGAACACATGTTGGTAAGTTGCAGGAAGTCGTGCACCCGCACGGCGGGGACCTGGGGGCGGGGGCGCGTGCGGAGGTCCAAATGCCCACGCGTGTGCAGTTCCCATCAGGCAAGGCCAGTGTGCCCCGAGGACAGGTTTAGAAACCCCACCGAGGATTGTTAATGCCTCTTTTGAATCACTTCAAACCGGAGCTCCCTTAGACTTTCTTATTTAAAATGTTCGCTTTGACGGCTGAAGACATAGGTCTTGGGAACCTACCCTTTTGGGGCTTCTGGGCACTCTACCAGACTGAACCACTGGCCCCCGGGAGGGACCGGAGGAAGCAGATTAAGGAGGAATCTTGTCCCCAACAGATCCTGGGCATCACCAACCCCAAGGGCCAGAAGAAGTATTTCTCAGCAGCCTTTCCCAGTGCCTGTGGGAAGACCAACCTGGCCATGATGAACCCCAGCCTCCCAGGGTGGAAGATAGAGTGTGTGGGAGATGACATTGCCTGGATGAAATTTGACCAAGAAGGTGACTCTCTTAGACCTAACCGTTGACGATGATTGCACCTAGGTGAACTTTTGGCTTTCAAAGCGCGCCAGATTCTCCCAAGTCCACGGTATTGGGCTTTTTGAGTCCGTTCTTTCGGATCTTGCAAAGCCCTAGGAATATGTTTTCTGCGAGCATTCTTTAACTTAATATAGGATCTGGATTGAAATGGGGCCCCATATGCTGCTGCTTGTTTATACAATAAATGTGTTAAAACACTCTTGGTGGAAAACCGACGAGGAAGGAAGGGTTGTAAAAGTGTCAAAGCGGAAAATCATGCTCGGATGAGAAAAGAGGAATCTCTTCTAGGGAGGAAGGAAAAAAAAAAAAAAAAGATTTGAGAATTCGGTGCGAAGATTAGCCTGGTCAGAGCTAGGAATATCCGTTACGTTTTGTTTGGCATTCGTGTCTACCTTTCTGGTTGGCAACTTTCCAGGTAACCTAAGGGCTATCAACCCAGAAAATGGCTTTTTCGGGGTGGCTCCTGGAACCTCTGTGAAGACCAACCCCAACGCCATCAAGACCATCCAGAGGAACACCATCTTCACTAACGTGGGCGAGACCAGCGATGGGGGCTTTTATTGGGAAGGTATCGACCAGCCGCTGGCCCCGGGCATCAGGCTCACATCGTGGAAGAACACCGAATGGTCCCCCCAGGACGGTGAGCCCCCTCCTGGAGACCCCAGGGCCCCAGCCTCTAAGCACTACTGGTTTGGGCGAGATGCTAAGGGGCGCCTCCTCTGTTGCTGTTGCAGGGGAACCTTGCGCCCATCCCAACTCACGCTTCTGCACCCCTGCCAGCCAGTGTCCCATCATCGACCCTGCCTGGGAGTCTCCGGAGGGGGTGCCCATCGAGGGCATCATCTTCGGAGGCCGCCGACCTGCCGGTGAGTCTCTCCTTCGTTCAGGCTGGGAGCATGGGTGTGTTGGCTTCCAGAAAGTGTCCATGGAATCTCTCCTTTTTCCTGACCTCGCCAGAGGGCACCAGAGATCTCCAGCTTCCAAAAATCCGGGATAATTGGCAAGGCTGGATCCTTGACGGGCTGTGGCTCTATCTAATTAAACTTCCAGCTGCGTGGCCTCGGTGGTGTAACTTGGACAGCGGTTTTGTGCGCGTTGGCTTTGGGAGGACACAAGCAGCTCAAGTACAAAGATACAGTTCCTCTGTGTCTTTCCATTTCGGGAGATGCCATCGCCAGCCCAGGGGTCTGTGTCAAAGCCTTTACGGGGTGTTCCTTTTCTCCTGCTACAGGGGTCCCTCTGGTCTACGAAGCTCTCACCTGGCAGCATGGAGTGTTTGTGGGGGCGGCGATGCGATCAGAGGCCACAGCAGCTGCAGAACACAAAGGTAAATCTGAGTGAACGACTCAAACCGCAGACCGGAGGGACTGGTGTGCTCCCTGTCTCCGCGTGCTCGTGCCAACAATAAATGGCGCCAGTATTGTCCCATAAGAGCATGATTTACCAGCGGGATCCCCCTCTCTGTTCATAGGCAAGGTCATCATGCACGACCCCTTTGCCATGCGGCCTTTCTTTGGCTACAACTTTGGCAAATACCTGGCCCACTGGCTCAGCATGGCCCAGCGCCCAGCAGCCAAGCTGCCCAAGATCTTCCACGTCAACTGGTTCCGGAAAGACGACGAAGGCAAATTTCTCTGGCCGGGCTTCGGGGAGAACTCCAGGGTGCTGGAATGGATGTTCAACCGGATCAACGGGGAAGCGGGTGCCAAGCTCACACCCATAGGCTACATCCCTGAGGAGGGCGCCCTGAACCTGAAAGGCCTGGGGGACGTCAACGTGAAGGAGCTCTTCGACATCCCCAAGGGGTTCTGGGAGAAGGAGGTGAAGGACATCCAGAAGTACTTGGAGGAGCAAGTTGACACCGACCTGCCCTATGAGATCGAGAGAGAGGTCCTTGCCCTGAAGCAAAGGATCAGCCAGATGTAATCAGACCCGAGAGCTTTCCTTTTAAGATCAGCCCCTCTTTCCAATGCAACCGGGAGCAAGAGAAAGTGGGATTTTCTCAATGGACACCACCCATACCACTGCCATGACCACACTGATGGGCCGATTCAAAAGACACACTGTGATTTTTCAGAGAAGACCACAAAGTACGGGCTGGTAACTATGGGATCGGGAAGGGAAATCTCAGCAGGTCTCCAAAATTCACTATCCAGCGCACGTTGGTTCAACCCTAAGGACACCAGGCATTCAGTCTTTCCTGTTTTTATCTCTTTAGCTATGTCAGTTACCTGGAATGCACGGAGAAAACTACTTGAACTGTGTGTGTGTGTGTGTGTGTGTGTATTTCTTGTTATCTGAGATGTATATAATACCTTTGGAAAAATCGCGGGCAAGATTACCTACTAGTTGTGGCTAGAAAGAAACGCTGCTTTATTATTAATATGCACGTTTAAATTATTTTTATATACCCCTGGTTACGTACCTTCACGCGATTTCAATGTTTTCCCCTAACACTTCTTGGAAAAATCACAAAATAAACTTTTATAGAAAACATGGATTCATTCACTTGGTGTTTCTGATCTGAACGAGCAAGAAGCAAGGACTCTCTGATGAAACACGTTGGGGTCCGAATCCCCTCCAAAGGAGGTGGGGACATCAGGGTCATCCCTGGGGAGGGAGGGAGCTGGGGGTGGGGGGAGGGAGGGCACAGAAAGGAACCAGTTAGGAGAGATGAGCAAAGAAGATGTCACCCACAGGTGGCATAGTATCACGCTTGGGGCTTTCTGAATTAACCCCCAGATAGTATCTAGAAGCCACTGACCAGTGGGTTTCAACACTGAAAACCTTGAAGTGAATGGTAGGCCTGGTGTAACTGAGTGGGAGAGTTTAAAACGTGCTTCCTGGCAAAACTTTGGGTCTGGGGGTTCAGCCTTCCCCGTTACATTGAGGCCAATTTCACGCACTTTTGTCGCGACACTCTTGTCGACCAACACTTTTCTCAACCGTCATCCACGAGGGAGGAGAGTAGAGAGAAAGCCGAGGGGAGCTCTGTGGCACAAGCATTAATTGGGCACCTTCTGTATACCGAGCAGCGTGCCCACAGCGGGCCACCCTGAGGAGAGCAGGTGGTGTGGTTTGGCCTTAAGCCCCTCCCTGCCCCCTCTCCCCCTCCCCCGCCCCAGACTCGGGGTTGGCGGCATTTACTGGGGGGGTCAGGAACGAGGCAGACTGGATTTGCACCTGCACAGCACACGTGCGTTGTGCAGGCAAACACAGCACCCTGCACCTGCCGTCCCCCTCCCAGGGCGCAGCTGGTTAGAGTGACTTCACCCCTCTGAGCGTCCGTCGGAGCTGGGAGATCGCAACCAGAGTTGTCTTTCCCTTTAAAGAGCTGAGAGCTGGCCTGGCCCTCCCGACAAAGTGTCATGTTCCAATACCAAAGCCACTGATGGGGAAAAAAAAACCACTTCATGGAATTAAGTGTCATCTGCTGTATTAATTTAAATCGGTGGCTTTCCAACTTGTTTTTTCTTTTCGCTACGGAACCCTTGCTTGACGCGTGCTCTGACTCAGACACCGAACGCCGGAGGGAGACAAAGCAAGAGAGCGTCCACCCCCAGGTTGGGGGTGGGGGGGGGGAAGCTGGGACCCAGGTTCCCGGCTTCTGTTTCCCTGCCCGCCTGGTGGCCTCTGAGGCAGTTCCCTGGACCCCCGAGAGGGGCTGACAGGTACAGTGGGGGCGTCTTTGTGACGATGTGTGTCCTGGGCCCCAGGGTCCTGTCCTAGGCCCCCAGCAGGCCTCTGGTTTTGTGGCCAAGCTGGCCCTCCTGGAAGTTTTTACGCTCCTGCACGGCATCACCCACGTGCCCCAGGGACTGGCATGTGAACCTGTTCCTGCCAGGCCCTGGAAGCCTGGGGATCAGCCTAGAGGAAATGCCTTAAAGAGAATAGAGGTTTTCAGGGGACCACAAGGACTCAACAGTTGCCATTGGCCCTTGACTTGTTTTCCCCAAACGGCCAAGCAAGTGCTCCGTCCACCTCCAGGTCCTGGTTTCTATGCCGGGAGCTCTGGCTGTCGTGGTCAGGATGCTGTGACCTTATTTGCCAATGTCATCTTGCGGTGCCCCAGTCCCTGCGGGGTGGAAAGACAGGCAGACCAGGCCAAGTCGGTTTCGAGGTGCTGATTCCTGTTCAGCGCCCCCCCCCCCCCCCC